TGTAGCACTTTTCTTTCCTCTGGGAAGCTGGTACTTATTTTACTCATAAATTGCAAATTATGCCCCGATGCTGTTTAACTAAAGGACAATATTCATACAAGTGGGGAGAAAGCTGCTTAAGATATAATCAACAGTGACTGTGGAAAACATAACGTTAAAACAGGCCTCACTGAGTTATGGACCATACTGCCTGAAGGCATGGGTCCCCAAACACTTCTGGATGCAGGTCATAACTTCACCCAGACATCACTAATTGAGTTGTTTTCAGAGCTCATTGATGTCCGCCCTACAATGTCTTCAAGCTGAGCAGTTTATCAGACTATGAAGCACGTATTCTATCTTTACGATCTGTCTAGATATGCGACATCCCCAGCAGCAAAACTGTGTTCTCAGGGTTATTTCCAAATCATTTATTTGAAATCAGAAGACATTTTCCCATAGGATCAGTTTTATACATGGTGGTGCTCCACACATGCCTGATTGAGCCACAGTGTACTCGAAATGTGGCATTGACTGTCCTATTCCCACTGGCCATTATTCTGCCTCTCTGGGAAAGTTCTAACCTGGGATGCCTGCAGCTCACCTCTCCCTCTGCCTGGCAGCCTTCACTGTCGCTTTTTTTAGGCCATGCTGCAGTTGCAGTCGGGAAGAGGAGACTGGTGAGTGTGGAGTTGCTATGGACACCTCTGGGTAACTTGTTCACACTGGAAGGCTGAAGAACACCACACGCGAACCAATCGCTTCTCATTCTTCTGAATGAGGCACAAAGGACAGGGACTTTTTCCTAATAGATCTCATTTCTATTTTTTTTGCTTATACAGTAAAATTTCAGCTTTTTGAAGACCAAGCTTCTAGACTTGTAATTAGCCAAGGAAAATATTTTAGCTCTTCTTGGTCAGTGATAGAATAGTCTCCAAACACAAAGCAATAATGAGGCATAAATTGAGCACCCAGCCCCAAGCCCGACAAACAGTAAATGCTTGAGTACTGATCTAGTGAATTCTGTATTGAAAAGCACAAGGCCATAGACGTACGCACATGTGGGCCAGTTAACTTCATGAAAATTCAGCATGTCCTACTTCCGACCCTCTTGTAGCACACAGCCTACCAATGGAGAGTTGGTGCGAGTCACTAGTTGGTCGAGAAGTCACTAGAACGTCTCTGTGGGCATATGCGTTTGTCTACACCAGCCCCCAACCAGGTGCTGGATCTCTTCACACCCTCTCTGTTGTGCATGCATTCTAGCACGATCTCCCCATTGCCAGATCTGAAGAAACAAAGGTGAGGGGCAGAGGTTGGTGATGTGGAAAACCAGTAAGGACAGCCAAGCCTGCGGGAGCCTATCTCACTGAGTTTCTGGTGCCACGCTTATCCTGGCAAACATTACCTGCTAAAAATGACTTTTTTTTTTTTTTTTTTGGTCGGTTGTTTTTATAACACATGGAGACAAATTTTAGGGAGCTGTGCCTCCTTTCAGATTAGAATTTAGTCTGTATACCAGACCCAGATCCTGGCCATTGCCAGCTTTAAAATTACATAACAATTTAATTTCATTTTGTATTTACAACTACTTTTAAAAGAAATACTCTATTAAGGGCCCCTCAATTAAAAAGTTGTCCCCACCCCCACCCAATAAACTGTGGACTGTTTTTAGTTTCATACACTCTGCTTTCCTTTTAACGTTCCATTTGCGTTCTACAAGACAGCCTCCTTCTCCAAGATTAACATTTCTTATGATTGTTCCTGACAATGGATTCACTTCCAGAGGCCCTGCTAAGGATAACCAAAAAAGGGCATGGAGCAGGCTGGTTTTGGCAGCCAGCGCACAGTCTCAGAGCTTTTTAGGTCTTGGTTTTTCTGATGAGTGATTTCCTGAGCATGCCTAGGGAATGACAGGCACCTCCACAGGCAGGCTGCATCCACCTCAGCTGAGGTGTCGTCATTGGCTGCCTATTAGAAAAACCTACAGGACAATGCATACCACCGACTGCCGACTGTAAACATAGGGGATGTGTGTTCACTTAGCACGGACTTCTGGGAGGGGCTAAGGAAGGGCGGTCTGGAGTTTTATTGAATAGAGCAGTGTGTATGAGGCTGCCTGCCTGCCTGCCCTCTTGCTGTGCTCCTGCTTAAAGAAATCAGTCCTTCCTGTCCGACTTAGTCCTAGGAAGAAGTTTCAGCCTACGAGGTAAGGCACAGAGGGCTTTCTTTTAATCTCTTCCAGAGAGTCTGGGGACTTTCTCCGGGTTTCAGTCCACATTCCTGGCCAAGGTAGCTGGAGATGCAAGACTGTAAAAGCCAATAAACCATGCAAATTCTCAGAGCCAGACTGAGCTTCGCTGCCCTGCAGATGTTCCCGGAAGACAAACAGGATGAGATTTCAAGTTTTGTTTTTAGAGTTGGGACGAAAGGAGAGATCATATAGAGACCTATATTCAGGGACCACCGGCAACTTTGATGAAAATAGCCTTTTGTTCAGGGGTGCGATGGGGGGTCTACCTGACGGCCATAGACCGGTGTCAGTGGGCGAGCCGTCTGTGCCAATCTGCTCCACCAGCAGTCTCTCCTGCATCTTTTACTATGAGAGATTTAAAGAGGTTTTGCTTTTAACAACAGTAACTTTTTAGGTTGGTAAGAAGCCGAAAAGGGATGGTTTTTAACCAAAGTAATTTCCATTTCTTTCTGCTACCAGTATTTACGACTGGACTGCTCGAGCTTCCAGGAAATAAGGTCAGAGGTGGAAAGAGCACTGGCATTGAGCAACCGTTGGGTTAACGTAACCAATCTGATATTTGCTAAGACAGAAGATACCTAGCATGATCTGTTTCTTATAAAACTAATAACGGGAGAATGCGTGTACTGGTGGGTGTGTTTTTAGAAATCGCTTTCAACATCTGACCAAACTATTTCTTGAGAAATCTTAGTTTCTGTTTGAAAGTGTGCCTGAGTGTGACTAGATGATTTAAAAAGTTGTAGGTTGCAAGTGTGTTCCAGAAAGGGAGGAAGCAGGCTTTCATTTCTGGATAATCAGACATATTTGGGCATCTTCAACGGTAGTACAAGGCGGCTGGTCCGTAGTAGCCTGGAATTCCTGTTAGAAAGAGCTGATTGTAAATGGTGGGGGAATTTTAGTGTGTGGCAATACATGGGCAAATAAAGTGGATGAGAACAAAGTGCTTGGTATTCTTATATCCCTTCTGTTGAACGAGGCTGTGCAGATGGACTTGTAAACTGAAATAATAAAATCTTTCTACTGCGTTGGGCAAAACCAGACCCATAGGACTAGAGCTTAAGTGAAAACTAGGTGGTGTGCGGCAAGAAGGAAAAATCTGAGCATTTTTTTTTTTTTTTTAAACGAATCTGGATAGTCAGGGTTTCCAGCTCCTTTTGACTGGCTCAATTTGATTTTATTCCATGAAGCGAAGCGGTTTTGTGTGGCGATTCATTAAATCATCTTTTCTCTTTATATTGAGCAGTTTGGGAATAATTTTCTTGAGAATGCCTCTCTCTCTCCTTCTAGAAGTGATATATGATAAGAGAATTCTCTGTGAATTTCTTTTCCTGGAACAGTCCTGAGTAAGTGTGAGAGAGGGGCTGCAGGCGAAGGACGGCAGTTTGATTATTGTCCTTTCCTCGAAGAGATCAAGTTCCAAACCATTTTCACTGTGTTTTTCACGTCAATCAAAATATGGAGAGCGATTTCTTTTTCAACTGTTCTCTAAACCATGTAGGGAATGCAGTTTGGAAGGAAATCTATAATCTTGGGATTGGAGGATAAATTCCATTTTGAAACCAACATCTCCAAATCTCTGAAAGTTCCAACTTTGCTACCACTCTCTCCTGTCCTCATGTGCTCCCCAACCCCAACAACCACAGAAACACATTTTTCAAAATAACACTTTAAATGTTCTACTTTACGTAATGATGGAGCAAGGGGATTTGATATTTTACTTTATGGTAAACTTTAGGCAGCTCTTTGTGCTACTTTCCTCCTGTTGGATATGAGCTAGAAGACATCTCTCCAAATACGGAGGTTAAAAGGAACACGATGAAACCGCAGGGCAAGAATTTCCCTTTTTATTAACATCATTTAATAAAGAGAAATACAATGGCGCATATACCAGGAATGTATAATGGATCGATCCATAGGTAACATGCTGGGTCGTTTCCATGGTTCAAAGCTGATCAAGTGTGCAATTTAAATAATTCAGATAAGGAGATTGCTTTAAAGAAATACACAGTCCTTGCCTTAAAGAGGAGAACCAGGTTTAAACTGCAGCTTACGGGATTTAAATGAGATACGTGTGAGCTCGTGGCCTGCCGGTGAGGCTCTTAACAATTCTATTTGGCTCCTATCCCTGACGTGAGGATCTCCTGCTATGGGGCACATGGAATAGGCGGGTCCTGTGTCCAGCCATGGAAAGTTCCAGAATTCAGCCTGGGTATTCTCTGTTCTGATAAGTAAAAGGCATCGCAGTAGGCCTTTTTGTAAAAACACATACAGTTGTCTCCATTTGTCATTTTCATGGTAGCACGTTTACTAGTTTAGTCATTCTTTAGCAAGACAAAAAAGTGACTTAGAGATGCCTATGAAAAGGGATTAGCTCAGTCCCCATCTGCCTGCAATCTATCACGTGTCTCAGAAATGTGGGGTGAGGCCATGGTGGGGCGACAAGGGAAAACGCTGACCAAGTGGTATGCAAATAGCATGGTAGGACTAAGGAGAGGTTAGGAAGATACTGCCAAAGAATTTTCAGACTTTAGAGTTCTCTGGGTAAATTCTCTCAGAGCCTGAAAATAGAACCATTAGCTCCTTACGGAAAGTCCTTCATTGGTCAGGCTAATCCAAGTTTGTTATTGGAGAGATGCCCATAGGCTCTGCTTAGCTGGGTAATTTAAAGGGATACTTGTAGTTCAGGCTTAAATCATGAGCACCGCTACAGGAGCTCAGTCTCTGTATCAGTTCCCCTATTTAAGTAGCCCAGACATTTGAGGAAGCCTCATCTATAGAATGGCCGTTCTGATGATTCTACCTCCCGTAGTGGTTAAGATGCCCAAATGAAATGAGGCTCCCTCTTCTTCACGGGCTGTATCCTCCAAAGTGTGTTGCAATTTGAGTCCTCTGGACAGTATGCTCATTTTAGTGGGTCTCATCTCTACTTCTTACCTAGTATTCCTAATTATTTGCTCCTTCCTCCTATTTGAGGACCCTTGAGTGATACCTTCTGGATCCTAGTTCTTTCTAGAACCCTGAGCCCAGGGTCCAGGGAATACTCGTCCACCCAATGTCATTGTCTAAATTTTGGCTTTGATGATCAGAGATAAAAAGTCACAAGTATCAGGAAGCAGAATAAGATGGGTCATCAGTGGTGTAAGGCCACATCCAGGAAATCTGAAGATCCAGTTGAGTAGAATGATGACAAGGGGCTGACAACAGAAAGGCCCTAGTAAATGAGGCAGCTTCTCTGCCTCCAGCCGGAAGCATAGAACTAATCCCAGCATGTCAAGCCTGGGCCTCGTAGGGAGGGTGAGGTCATCAGGAGCACCTGGCTGTGGTTCCTGCTGGTACTGAGAGCAGACTGCTCCGTGGAGCTGGCCTCTCACCTCTGTTTGCTTTAGTCTTTAGTATCCCCACCTGGCTCTCCTGACTACTGATGGCATCCTTGACCTCCCTACCTCCGGTCCTCCACGTCAACCAGCTTCCCTAGCTCCTCCATCCCTAGGCCAAACATGAGGCTTTCCTGATCCAACATGGACAGTTTGCAGTGGCCCAGTTCTAGAAGGGGTCCCAGAGAACAGCAGAGGGTCAAGGCCAGATGTGTTTAAGGTAAGGGAAAGCCTCTTCACTTTGTTAGGCTGCGAGAGAAAAGTTAGAGCAGACGAGAGTAGATGTTGGAACAATTTTTACAGTAAAGAGCCATTCTGCTTCTTACCTCCAAACTCCCATTGGCTAGTGGGGGGTGAGTGTCGTGACAGGAGGACAAGACAGAAAGGATGACCACGGGCCATGAGGAAGGGGTGATGAGCTTGGCCCTGCCAGTTGTTTTTTCCTATGTTGTTGTTGTTATGGATACTTTTGAGAAGCTATAAAAACTCTAAATCCTGAAAGTCCTTTGTGAACATACTCTTTATGATTGACCAGTGAGACACCCTTGAGCTGGGGGAGGTTGAGTTGGAGACAATGATGGATGGATCAGAACATGAGTAGGGGTGTTCTTTCTTATTTCTTGATTCTTTCAAGCAGTGGCCCCCAACCTTTTTGGCACCAGGGACTGGTGCTCCTATGAGAATCTAATGCCTGATGATCTGAGGTGGAGCTGAGGCGGTGATGCTAGCGCTGGGGAGCGGCTGCAAATACAGACGAAGCTTTGCTCGCTCACTAGCCTGCCATTTACTTCCTGCTGTGCAGCCCGGTTCTTAACAGGCCATGGACCAGTACCAGTCTACAGCCTGGGGGTAGTCTTAGATTCCGTGACTGTCTTTCTTCTTCCTTGAGAGCAGACATACGTGGGGGCGTTCATAGGCTCCGACAAGTCCCATTTCCTTGCTAATAAATATTCCTCCTCTCCTCTCTAAGTATTAAAATAAAATCCAGAGGAAGAACAAGTTGCCCATTTGTCACCTGCTCCTCGGTCCAGAGCAGGGGGTGCATTTTGCTATTTCTGGTGGTTGACTTGAAGAAGCAAGGATGAGAGATGTGCTTGCTGGTTTCTGATCAGTTTAATCCTGGTTGGAAGGGCCAGCCCTGACCTTGACCCTGGCCTGGCTATATCCCGGGGAGGAGCAGGAGGGCAGCACTGGGTGGTGGCTTGGGCAGGGGCCGTAGGAGACCAGACAAAAGCAGGGAGGATGGGGAAGGAGGCGGACAGAAGGCCAGGCATGCTGACCAGGAGATGATCTGCCCTGGGGGAGAAGAAGAGGAAGGTGCCCACGCCAGAGGGGAGGTGGGCATGTGGTGAGCCCAGAGGTCAGGCTGCCTTTATCTAAGGGCCTCGCTCCTCCTTGGTGATGGCTGTGCTGGTCACTTGTTGGGAGTGACAGGAGCACGATGTCGGCCTCGCGGTGGCCAGCTCAGCAGGGAAGCTGAGGGGCTGTCTGCCTGCCACGCTGCACTGCCATCTCCAGGCTCTAAGATGCTCCATTTTCTCAGGCCTCTGCTCATCTCTGTTGAGCGTCCTTTTCAGCCTA